ACTAGAGGTATTCCCAAACCGGAGGAAGGAGGTCCTGATTCCTCTATATAGATCTTCAGCTATCACTAGAGGGATTCCCAAACCGGAGGAAGGAGGTCCTGGTTCCCCTATATAGATCTTTAGTTATCACTAGAGGGATCACCAGCAGGAGGAAGGAGGTCTTGATTCCCCTATATAGATCTTTAGTTATCCCTAGATGGATCCCCAGCAAAGAGAAGGAGGTCCTGATTCCTCTATATAGATCTTTAGTTACCTCTAGAGGGATCCCCAGCAGAAGGAAGGAGGTCCTGATTCCTCTATATAGATCTTTAGTTATCACTAGAGGGATCTCCAGCAGAAGGAAGGAGGTCCTGATTCCGTTCTGACGAAGGGGGCGTTCCCCGGAAACGCGTTAACGTCACCAGCATACAGGAATCGTTCAGTGGATGCACACTGCCTGTCAGCTTATATTTCATCTCATGTTTGTGAGTACGTTTTTGTTTTTATCTCATGCTTACTGAAATAAAATTGACCTGCACCAGGAAAGGCGCCCCCTTGTGTTTACTTCATATATCACTAGAGGAATCTCCAGCAGAATGAAGGAGGTCCTGATTCCTCTATATAGATATTTAGTTACCACTAGAGGAATCTCCAGCAGAATGAAGGAGGTCCTGATTCCTCTATATAGATCTTTAGTTACCACTAGGAGGGTTAGCAGAGGGAGGAACATACTTTCCCCGATCTGCTCTGTGACCAATAAGGCAGGAAGTGCTGAGCTCTCCTGCTTCAGAGCTGTCACAAACCCGGCTGAAGTGCCAGGTAAACAGACGATCAAACACAGTCGTGTGCTTCATCATCTGTATTGGAGGGCAAGAGAGACATCAGGAGTCTAATAGACCTCTGATGTCTACATAAAGAGAACCTGTCCCCTCCAAACACTATCATATAGCCACACATGTTAGGTATCACCACAAGCGCCAGAGAGCGATCATTCTAGGGCCATAGTTCACTGTTAACTCTAAACTGATGAGCAGTAAAAGCTTTTAAAGCGTTGCCGTTGGACGAGTGCGAGAACTCGTCCAAATACTTGATATCTGCACCAATACTAGTATCAGTACATACCTAGTATTATTTAACTGAAAGAGTAGTTGATGCTTGGAACAGACTTCAAGCAGAGGTAGTGAATCAGTCTACAACAGGGTTTGGCAACTCCGGACCTCCAGCTGTGCTTTAACTACAAAACCCAACATGCCTCTGCCTCTGGGAGCCCTGCCTGTAACTGTCAGTAACTTGCAATGCCTCACGGGATTTGTAGTTCCACAACAGCTGGAGGGCCAGAGTTTGCCCACCCCTGGTCTACAGGAAGTGAATGAGAACATGCTTGGGGCGGACTCGATGGACCACGTGGTCTTTTTCTGGTGTTTCAAAGGAAACTCTCTATTGGGCGCGGAGTCATAGAACTACAGGACGCGAGACTCGCAACCCCAAACAGGATGTAGATGGGGAGACAAAGATATGGATCAGGGAACCATTATTTATGAATTACTCCTGGTAATGATGCAGAGGGGTGACATGAGCCCACCACACAGTTCAGGACAGGACTCTGAGGGCCCCCGTCACAGGACAGGACACTGAGGGCTAAGGCAATTCCATCATTTATCATCACCCATCATATCTCATCACCTTATATCACCCATCACCTTATATGATCCACTATCATCCATAATCTCCCATCACCTTATATCAGCCACCAGCCTCTATCATCCGTTATTTCCCATCATTCATTATCACCTGTCATCTATCATCTTATATTATCCATCTTCTCCCATCACCTTATATCACCCATCATCTTATATCAGCCACCATCCTCTATCACCCTACATTTATCTTCTATAATACATTCTCCCCATCATTCATCATCTTCCATCACCCATAATAGCCCACTGCCCCCTATCGCCCATCATCTCCCATTGTCCTCTATCACCCATCATCTTCCATCACATTTTATCGCTCATTATCTCCCATCATCTTCTCTCATTCATCATCTCCCTTCACCTTATGTCATCTACCATCTCCTGTCACCTCATATTATCCATCATTCCCGTTCTATCAACCTTCATTCACCAACTTCCACTGCCTTCTATTATCTATCATCTCACATCGCCTAATAGCATCTGTCATCTCCTTCTATCGCCCATTACCTTCAATCAACCATTAGTTTTTATCACCCATCACCTTCTATCACTCAATAGCTTCCATTGCCTTCTATCATTCATTATTCCCATTACCTTGTATCATCCATCACCTTCTATCACTCAATAGCTTCCATTGCCTTCTATCATTCATTATTCCCATTACCTTGTATCACCCATCACCTTCTATCACTCAATAGCTTCCATTGCCTTCTATCATTCATTATTCCCATTACCTTGTATCACCCATCACCTTCTATCACCCAATAGCTTCCATTGCCTTCTATCATTCATTATTCCCATTACCTTGTATCACCCATCACCTTCTATCACCCAATAGCTTCCATTGCCTTCTATCATCCATCATCTCTTATCACCTTCTATAATCCATTATTTGCCTTCTATCACTCATCACCTCCCATGATTTGCCTTCTATAACTCATCATCTCCCATCATTTGCCTTCTATCACTCATCATCTCCCATCATTTGCCTTCTATCACTCATCTTCTCCCATCATTTGCCTTCTATCACTCATCAGCTCCCATCATTTGCCTTCTATCACTCATCACCTATTCTCATTTATCATCTCCCCTCACCTTATATCATCCATCAATTCATCCTCTCCTGTCATCTAATATTATCCACCATTGCTCATCTATCAACTATCACCTCCTATTATTCATCAACTTTCACTGCCTTCTATCACTCATCATCTCCCATCATTTAATAGTGTCTGTCATCTCCCAGCATCTATCACCCATCGCTTTCTATCACTCATCATTTAATAGCATCTGTCATCTCCCAGCACCTCCTATCACCCATCACTTTCTATCACTCATCATCTCCCATCATTTGCCTTCTATCACTGATCTCCCATCATCCATCACCCACTGCCATCAGCTTCCATCACATTTGAATTGGTTGTTGGGGAATCGTGTAGGGTTGCACCGAGACCGGTATTGGTGCAGATACTGGGCATATCGACAAGTACTCGTGGAAATGCCCCGCTACTAAGCGCTTACTAATACCGGCGCTTTACATTCTTAAACAGAAGTGGCTGCCTGAGGTCCCACGCTCTCCTGAGACCATGCACAGCCTCCCGAGTGCCCGCATAGTCTCCTGAGACCCCACACAGCCTCCTGAGAGCCCGCACAGCCTCCTGACCTGAGACCCTGGACAGTATCCGGAGACCACGCACAGTCTCCTTAGAGCCCACACAGTCTCCTGAGAGCCCGCATAGTCTCCTGAGACCCCAAACAGCCCACCTGAGAGCTCGCACAGCCTCCTGAAACCCTGCACAGCCCACCTGAGAGCCTGCACAGCCCACCTGAAAGCCCGCACAGCCTCCTCAGAGCTCACACAGTCTCCAGAGACCCCGCACAGCCTCCTGAGAGCCCGCATAGTCTCCTGAGAGCCCACCTGAGAGCCTGCACAGCCTCCTTAGAGCCCACACAGTCTCCAGAGACCCCGCACAGCCTCCTGAGTGCCTACACAGTCTCCTGAGAGCCCACACAGTCTCCTGAGAGCCCGCACAACCTCCTGTAAGCCCGCACAGCCTCCCAAGAGCTCGCACAGCCTCCTGACCTGAGACCCTGGACAGTCTCCGGAGACCACGCACAGTCTCCTTAGAGCCCGCACAGTCTCCTGAGAGTCCGCACAGTCTCCTGAAACCCTGCACAACAGCCTCCTGAAACCCTGCACAACAGCCTCCTGAAACCCTGCATAGCCTCCTGAGACCCCGCACGGCCTTCTGAGACCCACACACAGGCCAACTGAGGGCACGCACAGCCTACCTGAGCCCACAGAGCCTCCTGAGACCCCCACATAGCCACCTGAGTCCCCCACACAGCCTCCTGAGAACCCGAACAGCCTCCTGAAAGCCCAAACCGTCTCCTGACAGACCACACAGCCTCCCGAGACCCCAAACAGTGCAGGTCCGTACAGGTGCGGGTGTCCCGCCTCGGACACAGACAGGATCCATCCTGTCAGCGTACGAGTACTGACACCCGCACAGACGTGCAGGGCGGGTGAGCGTAGGGCGGCATACTCCCATAGATAAGGACGGGGGCTGCGTACTAACCACTCGCAGAACCTGTCCATCCCGAGAGCTGCCCGATACGGCCATGCACGCAGCACAGAGCTGTACGTGCCGGCCTTTTATTCTGTGAATGAGGCCTTTGTAGCCTTGGTTTGGGAACTTGTGGATTTGTTTAGGCTACAGCTTGCCAATTTGAATTTTTTTATGCCAAGGACAACTTTAGTTTTAAAACAATTTTCACATTATGTTGATTTCACAATCTATCTAATACATATTTTAATGAGTAGTTAACACCTAGACACGCCCACAATACATTATTACTGATTATGCAATAAATATAAATTGTTTATCCAGATAAAGTAGAAACTGCTATACAGACGTTCTTGTGTCTGTCTAGGAAACCTTGCAAGAAGTCTAACTTCCTTCTCTCATTCATCATAACTTCTTCTCATCAACCCCCTCACCGTTAGATAGAATAACGCACGCAATCCCACAACGCACGCTGCTACCGCCTCACTTTCCGCCTTCTCTCACACCTTGTCTCCCTGACCCCGCCCACCTCCAGCAGACGGCCTGGATGGTGAGTGACACATGATCCCGGCCAATCAAGCGGCAGTCAGGGCTTCCGAATTCCTCCAATCAGGAAAGACAGGGCGGGAAGACTAGGTGAGGTCTCACAGGTCGAGATCTCTCACGTAACACCGCGGCGCAGGTGAGGCCGGTGACGTCACAGGGCGGGGCTAGGGCTTGTTTTTTCCCAGAAGTTGACCGAAACCGACCGGAGAGGATAATGGCGGCTGAGAGGAGAGCGGACGGGCAGCTGCTGGGGGCGCTGCTGCTACTGGCTGCGGGTGAGTTCTTACTTATCTGTAATACTCTAAGCACCTACCTGTCCCGGGGGCCTACCTGTCCTACCTACACACCTGTCCCGAGGGCCTACCTGACCGTAACTGTACTGAGTACCTACCCTATAATAAGTGCCTACCTACCTTTCCTACACCATACGGAGTACCCACCTATCTGTCCTATACTGACTGCTATTGTATTGTACCTGAAACTCTCTACATATTTAATATACTGAATTTCCTGCCCTGTACTCTGTACCTGAGAACACCTACCTGTTCTGTTCTCTATCCGGGTCTTCTATTGTTCACAGGAGAGCACCTACCTGTTCTGTTCTCTATCCGGGTCTTCTATTGTCTACAGGAGAGCACCTACCTGTTCTATTCCCTATCCAAGCCTTCTATTGTGTACTTGGGAGCACCTACCTGTCCTGTTCTTTATCTGGATCTTCTGTTGTGTACTTGGGAGCACCTACCTGTCCTGTTCTTTATCCGGATCTTCTGTTGTGTACTTGGGAGCACCTACCTGTCCTGTTCTTTATCCGGATCTTCTGTTGTGTACTTGGGAGCACCTACCTGTCCTGTTCTTTATCCGGATCTTCTGTTGTGTACTTGGGAGCACCTACCTGTCCTGTTCTCTATCCGGCCCTTCTATTGTGTACAGGTGAGCACCTTCCTGTCCTGTTCGCTATCCAGGCCTTCTATTGTGTACAGGTGAGCACCGTTCTGTTCTCTATCCGGGTCTTCTATTGTGTACAGGTGAGCACCTACCTGTCCTGTTCTCTACCTGGGCCTTCTATTGTGTACAGGTGAGCACCTTCCTGTTCTGTTCTCTATCCGGGCCTTCTATTGTGTACAGGTGAGCACCTACCTGTCCTGTTCTCTATCTGGCCCTTCTATTGTGTACAGGTGAGCTCCTACCTGTCTGACTACCCAATCTTTACCGGACACCCATCCAGCCCACAGGTGAGCACTTACCTGTCCTATCCTGCTCTCTACATGTGACTTCCTTTTACTGGGCTCCCCATACTGAGTTTCTGGCTCCACCCACTTCCTGTGGCCATTACAAGGGGCTCCCGCCATCCTCCCTGAGCCTATATGTTGTATTAGAATACAGCAGGAAAAGGGCAGCACCCTGAGGTGAGTGAGATCAGAACCAGGACCCTAAGTGGGGAGATCTCACCTCTGGAACCCCCAAGTCCTGGACTGAGCGGCACTAGTGTGAGAATATAAGGCCTGCTTGTTATCCAGATCCGCCCTCAGACCTCCCCACACACACCACAAATAAAAGCCACCAGCTACAGTGGAACTGTCGACCTTCCTGTAGTCCCTGGTGACTTCACTGGTCCTGTAATGTGGGGCACTCCAAATCCTTGAAGATTGTGGCCCCTTTACTCGTTCTCTCTCGTTGGGGGGGGATCACATCTGGGTGGAGTTGTCATCTTTCTCTCATAGACTAGCTCCGCTCTTGCCCAGACTTGTTCACATTTCTGTTTTGTCTTTTTTTTTTTTCCACCCATCACAGTGCCAGGGGAGGGGGTGGCGATAGTCAGAGTGGGGCAATACAGACAGTTCTTATTGCCGGCTTACTAATGAGACCCCCCTCAGTCTTGGGACACATCCTATCAGGGGACACAACGGTTATGTTACATACATCTCCCCTTCTCTAGTAATGAAGGGGTTAACAGTGTCCCCAAAGGCTACCCTCCGGTAATACTACGCTACTCCTGTGTCAGCATCTCGCTGACGTGGGACTGTGCGGTGATCCATAGCAACCAGCTAGTATAGTCAGAAGAATGAGATGCTGACGGGTTGCAATGGGTTACCACACAACAGCCTGGCAGCAAAATGGCAAGAGGTTTTTTTTGTCTGCTTTGCCTGGCTGGAAAGCTGCCAGTCGTGGGGGAAGACATTTGCTGTGCACAGCTGGCTTCGGGTCGCCCATCTACCCTGCTTCCCCGAAAATAAGACCTAGTTGTGACCATTCCCAGGGCCGGTGGTGGCATAAGGGGGAACTTGAAGAGCCGCGGGAGCCGATGCCTCCTCTATAGCGCCGGCTCCTGTCGCAGGTGAAGTGATGCCAAAAGCACTCCGGCTGTCAGGAATCGATAGTGAAAGTGCCCTTCACTCATTCTGGCCTTGGAAAGGTACGGCACCCCTGACCACCATATTTTTGTACATGAATAAGTGTGGATTGTTGAACATTAAAAAATAAGACCTAGTGTGTTTTTTTGAGGACAAAAAAAATATAAGACAGTCTTATTTTCGGGAAACACGGTATATACATATATGGGGCCCCTTGCCTGTATGTAAATGTTGTTCTCTGCAGGACTGGGGTTGTGCCAACCTGTCCATTGGTCCTCCCGCTGTCGTGGTTATAGGTGTACAGAATCGGGGGGGGTAGTCTAAAATTGGTGGCCAGTGCCAAATATCCAAGCTCACAATCACCGGCTGGACTGAATGCTTCCTGAACTCTGTGTAGCAGAGTGGGATTTGACCCTTCTGGACTTTGATCTCTGCCACGTATGTTGTAATTATTTGCTGGAGGATAATCCATGGCTGGCGCTCGGCCCGCACACACCGCCATGTGTTGTCACCTCAGGGAACGCATTGCTTTCGGAGACATGGGTCACCTTTATGTCTTAAAGGGGCCTGAGCACTGCACTGGATACGAGTTGTAGGTGGAAGTGACAGAAATGGGATTACACCACTACAGTAACGCATGGCAGCCAATCGGCAGTCTTTTATTGTCGAAAGGTGGAATTTGGCTGCTATGGGTTACCACGCGTTGCCGTTAATAGCAATCTAATGGAGGTATTAGAAGGACTGGGAGACTAGAACCCCGGGGTCACCAGTTTAGACACTGTCATGGCTGTCCGCAGCTCTCATCCTCCTCACCAGAAACTCCTGTCAGTTTCTCCTGAGGTTAAGGAATGTGGTGCGGCCAGTCTGACCGGCTCGTCTGGAGCCTCTTCCCTCCCTCTTCCCCGCTGTGTCAGGGCCGCACATAGGAAAGGCAACACCAAAAACAAAAGATTCACCAGACGG